CGTTTTATTTTCGCCATTTCAAACTCGAAATTATACTATATGCTATACATTTATTGACTGAGTTTGAGGGCAACATGCGTTTTGAGGGACCCAAGAATCCAAATTGTCTGCCTGAGGCCGTTTAGCCGAAGACAGACATTTTAGTTCGAGGGTCGACAAACGCATTTTGCCCGAGACTCCAGTCAATAAATGTTTTGTTATACCTTTCGTTTCAATTTTTTTTTGACAAATATGTTTTTTGTATTGTGCAACACTGTTGGACACCAAGGAATGAAAATGAGATTAAGCTCCGCCCATTCTGTGACGTAAGCGATCCAACATCTCATCGAGCGTTTCAACATCTCACATACCGGTCCAACATCGATTTTTTTATGTCCACTCAGCAAAACATTAGAAATGTTAGACTTTTTGTATAGATTTGTATAAGAACAAATTTTTAAGGTATCACAATATGAATTTGCCCATTTTTTATATTTCCCTGTATACGTAAAGTATGTCAAATACAATATTCAATTTTACAGGTAAAGAAATTCAATATTTCCCCTTCTTCCTTGATAAGTGTTCTATACATGTAATATTGAGAATCATTTAAGAAGGAAGTAAACCACCATCCACTGAAGAAAACATAAGTGGTAATGTATTGCAACTGTTTGACCACTGGTATTGAAAATATTAAATTACTCCCTCAAATGGTTCTAAGTCTGTCACATACTGGAATTGTTTCTGCATAACATTTCAATTTATTGATACATGTATGGTATGTTTTTTTCCTTGTCATGCTATGCTTGTTCGTCAGAAGTCAGATTTATTATACAATATATAGACATAAAAAAGGTTTCTTACATAAGAGGAATATATTTAAGAAATACAGTAATGTTATTCAGTGAACATGGCGTTATGAATAGCAATTGCTCTGCTGGCATATTGCATGATGCGCGCTAGCGCATCATGGAAAATATGCCAGCAGAGCTATTGCTATTCATAATGCCATGTTCACTGAATAATCGTCGTTTATTACTTATATTTGCATTCTTTGATTTATTCGAAAATATCAGAGGAAATTCTGACTTACATAAGGACGCGGCTTCTTGTCTTCAGTAATGAAAAACATAAGGCTTTAAAATCAGTACACCTGATCAATGATACTTTTATCTAATAAATCACAAAGAATTATAAATTATTTCCCTCTCAAACACAGTTATCTGGATACAAGCAGCGCCGTCAACAAATTCTCTTAATTTTTGTTTTGATGCAGTTGTGACGTCATCGATCAACGTTATTGAAACCCCTCTAACAAAAATCAACGATTTAACACTATGATGAAAAATGATAATGCTTTTACGAGGGTCGTTCAACAATAACACGGACTTGTTGCACAGAAAAAATATTTGACGACATAATCGGGCAAATTGTCACTCACAATATAAAAGAATCTTTACTTATATGGTCTTCAAAATTTCATATCAAAATGTTGTTAATTGGTATCAATTTTGAATGTTTTTTTTTGACATATCATTAAGTCACGGAGCAGCAAAATCTTCGACGTCTCAGGCATTCTAAAAAAATATGTGATGGAGCATCATTTTCTCAACATTTTTCAAAGAGTACCTGTACAGTTTGAGTTACCTTATCTACTCAACATCCAAACACCATTTCTTTTCAAACTTAAAATCTATTAAACAACTAAAGAATATTCTTTTTTTTGTTTTAAAACCAAAAACTGCAGGTATTTATGAGATATAGCGTGGCATTGGTCACTCTCAATTACGTTACAGTCCGGATAAAGTTTTCGTCGGTAATCTTCTGCCCGTCCTCCCGTATAACCTTTTTACAGAGGTCTAACGGTCTAAAATTTCAATAAGCTATTTGTGGACGAATGTCACGAATACTCAAGTGTACTACGTACATGTTTTATTATGCATATTTTGGATCTATGTTGGCTATATCTCGAGAATTACACATAATTTAACAAAAGTGTGGTGCGCCGTCAATTCAGGAGACGTAATTTTTCACAGTCGTTTTCACGGGAATCGCATCAGAGAAAAAGCACTATATTTCTGTTAGTACACCAAATATCATGTCAGAAATCTAACTACATAATAATAGAACAATTCAAAGATACATTTGAGAAAATTGTCGAAAAATATCGCGAATTATAGAAAAATTAATGAGTTCAATTTTGGATTCCGCATGCTTTTGCTTCAAATTTTTGTCGTGCTCCGTACCTCTCCATCAGCGATATCAACATACAAATAATTTTAGTTGAATTTTTCTAAAATAGAAAAATTTTGCCCAAAATTTATTAAAATCTTTAAGATACATATTTCTGTTAAATTACATAACTATATGACGTCTATATGAGTAAATAATAGCACAGTCCGCGTAATTTTTGAACGGCCCTCGTATAATGATTATTACTCCAGAATGCTTTTCTATTTTTTTTTTAGTTCTTCTATTTATTTTTAATAGCTGAAATTATTCTTGAAGTCGATATACTAGTTATAACTAGTTTTCTGAATGTTATTACCCAAGTGTGAAGAGTTATCGTTCTTTGAACAAATATGCATGATACAAAAAATAAAAATATGGCAGTTTTCTACAATTTTTAAAAAGTTTTATTATACAATTAAATACATTGACCAAATTTAAATTTTTAAAGAAATAAATCAGCAATTTTTATTATTCTGAATTTCTTTTTTCTCAAAGAATATGATGAAAAACTTATATTTATTTCTTTTACGAAAAGTTTCATATATATACTTCTAAACACGTTGTGTAACTGTAGTGGAGATTGTTCTGCAGGAATTTGATAGAGCAATTGCTCTCATAGCAGAAGCAATTGCATCTATAGGCCTATAAACGCAATCGAAGACTACATGGTCATAGTGGGAGAGAGCAATGGATATGCAAATATAAAGCTACATTTTCTTTGGAATTAATAAATTGAATAAGAAAGAAATGGACTGGTATTTTGTTATCATTTACTAGCTAGTTTGCCAGAATTATTTCAAAATCATGTTATTGAAATATATAGTGCCTATGTAAAAACCGCTACAGTCTTCATTAACTGAAATGGTCATTGTTCTGAAGCCCAAAATTTAACATCAATATCTAGTAAACACAAAGGTGGTTACGGTAATAAAGAGTGCACGTGACTTACAGACAAATTGAGAGGAGAGAAACAGATATATGTTGTTATCACCGACTCGAGTGTTAAATAGGTCGTTTATCATAAAATTCGATAATTCTTCCCTCATATAATGAGCTTTTATCAGTGGAGGGTTCTATATTTAGACTTGTAATCGCCACAGGTCACTTTAAAGGAACAGTTGCAATAATTTTATGTACTTATATCATAATCGAATAAGGCAAGTCATGGGATTGATGAACCCTCAATATTCCGATCATGGGGCAAGTGCTCTCGATTGAGCTACCATGACGGCGTACCAGCGTTAACAAGGCGGTACACTCTTAAAGTGTGTGTTTTACATAATAGAAATATTTCCTTTTACGTCCTGTTTAATTTCCTTATATCTGAAATGGCGATCATATACTTTTTGACTGTCATCTCAAGTTTTTTATTCATGCCCATCTTCTGTTATGGTATGTATAGAAATCATAAGTTCTTCTGTAATCACTTTTGATTTTTTACTGTTACAGTAACAGTGAGCGTAAATGGTCACTAATATTATGGTGAGACTTTCAATCTGTAATATATTTTGAGGGTGTTTTTTTTTTGTAATTGGTATCGAGATCTGGAGTTCATTTAACGGGCTCTTTCTGCATTTCCGTCAATCTAAATGAAGGCCATTATTTGAGAGCTATGTAATATTGAACTTATGCTATTATATCTTATTCATACTTAAGGACAGACGAGACGTTCCTTAATAATAGATAAAATTTTCCAAGATTTTGTCATTGAAGTATTGCTACTTAAACATGTTTACTCACAAAAATTTGAGGTACCTTACCAGGCATTTCTGCAAGATACCAGGGGTAGTTTTTCTTATATAATCCTTTTGGGAGGAAAAATAATTTTTAAATTTAAAATGTTTAAATGTTTGGATTTTTTATAGACGTTTAGAAACTGGTTTAGAAATCAGAATGTGATTAAAATTTTAAATATTTTCCATACATCACAAAGATATATAAAACAGATTTTGAGGAACGTCTCGTCTGTCCTTAATGCATTATTTTTACTTATTTAGTGTTTTGATAGTTTTCATTCTATTTGGAAATCAATTTGAACCGTAGATTCTTTTTTTTTTTTAAAAATCCCTTTCCTTTTCTAACCATTGTTGATTTATCCAATTACTAATATGTTTTTAAATGTACGTTTTAAGACTTGTATTGGCTCATGAAAGTACTGAACTTATATTTATACCATGTAAAAAGGTTATTTTTTGTTTCGAGGCGGTTCATTTCTGAAATAATTTACGTACCATTTTTCATTTGAGAATGAAGTATTACATAGATAGATAAAATATTACCAAGTGTCGGAGGAATCAAAAGTTTTATTACCGGTGCAAATAAGTGCAAGTCAAAATAAATGATTTTATGGATTTATAAAAGGCAAACGCTCTCTCTCTCTCTCTCTCTCTCTCTCTCTCTCTCTCTCTCTCTCTCTCTCTCTCTCTATATATATATATATATATATATTTATACATATATTGACGAGTTGTTATTTTATTTTTGGAAAAAAAAAAATTCGAAATAAAATCCCCTAGTTATATAAAGGTACGGGTCAATGGATAAAGTGGTGAGGAAAATGAAACAAACGGTAAAAAATGTCTGAAAGATATCCTTTTTATTAAACACGAAACATAAGAACTAGCATGCTCGGCAGTCACTGTACCTTTAGCTTAACTAAAGTATTTGGATAATCTCTTCATATGCTCTGATACGTCATCTGCCTTTTGATGGATAGTTAAGCTAAAATTAACATGTATATTAATCATGTTATTAAAAAAAATCTTATTATTTTTCGGCATGAAATACAGATAATTTAAGCAGAAGAAATACAACAAAAGTTTCGTTAAGCTCAGTATATGAGTCATGGAATGCAGCGCTCGCGAATGATGGTATAAGAACTCATACAGACTATAAGCTGTGTTCACACACTGCCTATGAATTCCAGGAAGCTTGGCTTCAAGTGGATCTTAAAGATTACTTCAGCTTGAAGTCTGTCAAAATATACTACAGAGACGAAAGTAAGTATGAGAAACATATCTATCGAATTGTTATTCATTGTAAGCTCAAAATATAATATTTTAGAGTTGCAAAAGTTTAGTTTTGTGTTTTACTGTAATACTGCTACAAAAGTATTCGTGAAAAAATGGCGACAAATATAAACAGATTTTTTTCTCCGTAAGATCAATGTTCCACCTATTGCAAATCAATTGGTAATCAAGATTCATTTAAATAGGTCTTATATGATACTTTTCCGTCATGAATTTTGTCATATTCCTGTCATCTGAACATTTCGAGAAAAGCCAACGTAAACAAAGAGGGGTCGAAAAGGGAAACAATTACAATTGAGTAGAAATGGAAGAAGCAGATGAAAAATCATGCAGTCAACAAATAATATCGTGTGACCTTGTGCAGTGGAAGATTGTCGATGCACACTGGAATAAAATCATTTTAGTGACAACTGTAAGGTCATTATCAGAAATGACAAACATGTGAGAGTGGGAAAAAAGTGGGTGAATACCTGCCTGATTGTGCTGTTGTATTTGCCAGCCATGAAAACGCAAAACTGACTTTGAATGATATTTTTGTTTGTACATGTATTACATATCTCGGTATCGGAAAAAAAAAATGAGTTCTTGATGGAAATATAAATACAGAAAAATATTTTTCTGTATTATATGATTCATGGTAATTTAACAACCAAGCTCTATGATAAACGTGATGACTTTACTTTTCAATTGTCAACTTCCCTTACTTATGCAGCAATATACCTTCATGTATACGGAGTTAAAATATCTCAGTTGATATTTTTTGTACGTTGTATTGTTTTAAAGTGATTTTGATCTAGAATACTGTTCGTTGTCTCCAAATGTTTTATTGTAAAGGTCATGCATATTTCAACTGGAGCTTCAAAACATGAAATTTATCCTTATAAAATGCAAATTTTATTTAAAGCAGCAGTATTTTTCAGAAAGTACAAAGTATATTTAATAGACTATAACATTTTGTATTGAATTTGAATATGCCTTTGCGATATTGAAATTCGTGTATGACTTCTATGTAGTACACATTATATGCATACGTCTCGTGACTTTCAAATAAGGTGACCATACTTGATTCAATACAGGCGATTCCAAGCATCAATTTATTACTACCCACCACAATTACATTTATGGCTATACAAAGGGGACGTGATCTATTTTATACGGGAAATATGTAAACTGTACAATAGTATCAAGCTAGCATAACAGTTCCCCTTTATGCTAAAATAATACAGACCACTTCCTTATCTCAAACTGAAAAAAAGACAAATTATCGACCAGTTTTAATTGTTATTATCTAAAATAATGACTAAAAGGTTTCAAAGATCTACTTTTACATTCATTTTTAGCGAATTTTGCTGAAAAATAATCATAGAAGTTACATAATAAATGTAATTCTTGTATACCATTCAAATAAGAGAGAATACCTATATGGCAATTGAATGCACATCTTTTCCTCTGGTAGCTAGCTTTGACATCAGCGCTGAACTTTTGAAAGTCATTGATTCCATAAACAGACAACACATGACTGTAAAGTCCAAAAAAGTTAGCTGGCTGTATTTTGTGTACTCGGCTAAATGTAGTCATGTTTTTGAGGTTCATTTATCATAATAATTTAATTTTGTTGCCCATCTGCAGTTACATATATTAATGGGTCCTTTTATGTAATATGATTTTAGCAGGCTGGCCTCCTCGCCGGTTTCGTCAATTCTACCTAGATGTATCAAACTCGTCAGTAAATGTAACTTCAACATCACAAAGAGTACGCTGTTACAAGGACGAAACTGAAGAACCGGATGTACCTCAGTCTGTGATTGATATTCCTTGTAGACACGCAGCGAGATACATCATTGTGGGAACCTCTTATGACGCTCCAGAAGATAATCCAATAGAAGGGGCTATATTAGAAATATGTGAAATAGAAGTTTATGGTAATTGTTACTGTTTTGAATTGAATATTATGTTTTGTCTTTCCGTCCTTCTGTATTTGTCTCGCTAGCTATTTTTGTTTGTCTAAGACTTTCTTTTTTTGGATAATACAGCTGTATCTCAAAAAGATTGATTTTTTGCAATATCATAACTTCCTTTATGGTAAAAAATCCTTTTAGCGTGATATTGCAGCGATTTAAGTGAGGGTGTGTGAGGGGGGGGGGGTGAGGGAGAGAGAGAGGGTGAGTGTGAGAGTGTATGTAAGGGTGATTGGGTGTGTGTGGGTGTTCACAGGCATGAATTAAGGAAGCATATAAATCATTTCTAGGGAAATATATACTTTTTAAAGAAAATTAAGTTGAATAATGTAACAAATCCGCTGATAACTGTAAACTATTATAAACTTTTGCATAAAGATACAAGAGAGTCTAACGCAAAGGCGTGCATCACCATCCAGGGCATCACGTGACTTCTGTTAATAGCGTAATATTCCTTAATAAAAAGCTGAAAGAACAGCAATATCCCGAAGTTTAATAAAATTTTACTTTGAGTAAATAATATAGTCGAAAAACATATATTATGCCTATAAAGTGCTGCTAGAATCCCACTGTCCTGTTAGTTAATAAATATTCCACACATTCGCACGAAACCTCACCCGATGTTTTGAATTTTATACATATGAAACGAATTTTTTCGTAAAACCATGCTTAACTCGGGATTTTAGCAGCACTTTTCAAGTATTTTAGAAGACAATTTTTCCATCTGTGCAAATCTTATGTTTTGAAATATGCAGCTTATTGTTGTTCTGTTGCATTTTTTGTCACGAATGACAGAGGAAAGGCCGACCGGGATACATAAATAGCTGACTGTCTTCGAACGAGAATATAAACGATGAAAATGAATTAGCATACCTATTTAAATAACTGAACTCCAGATGAATTTCACGAAATATTTACGATATTTGCTTTTAAACTCTATTTTTCGTATCTTTTTACACACCATTTCAGCCAAATTCTCCTTACACGAAAAGATCCATTCCCAAATTACTTGATGAACACATGAGAGGTCATCGGTGGTAGATTTTAATCAAAATGACGGATACAGCAGAACAAAATTAAAACATTTTATTTTCCTTAATGTTTACACGTTTCTATTCATTTTCTAGGTTTAAATTACATCTCTAAATACCAATATTACGAAAACGTGTGTTCTAAAGTTGACTTCATCCCGCCTACTATGACTTCAAATGAATAACTGTTTTATCAAGGTAGAATATTCTGTATGCTTCCTTACTACCCCTGCGTACTTGTGTGAAAGACGGTTTTAGTGTGGGTTCAATTTTTTTAATGAAACATTTTGTTGAATATACACAATTATATATTATCTGCAGGTTGCGGCATAGGCAAATTTGGAGAGCTTTGCAAAAATTGTCAGTGTTCTACTTGCAGTATCATTAATGGTTCATGTCGTAAGTGAATCAAATGGAATTTATTCTTTTAATAAATGTGATTCTTGAAACTACTTAACACCATATATCATTCCTAAATTAAAACCTTTAAATAAAATTTACTTTTTTGAAGCTGTTTCATGTAGTGATAATTGTCGAAATACAACATGTACTTCGTTCTCTGGATATTGCACAAATGGATGCAAAGAACGTTATTATGGACCGAAATGTGAGCATCTGTGTAGTTCGCAATGCAATTCCCAGAGTTGTGATCAAGTTTCTGGTGAGTGTACTGCATGCAACAATGGCTATTATGGTCCATATTGTAATCAGACCTGCAGTCCATTTTGTGAATATAACATTTGTGATTTCCTTACTGGAGAATGTCAACATGGATGTAAATCGAACTGGACAGGAGACTTTTGTAACAGTAAGTGCTTACAGATCTTATGCCATTGATAAAGTAATAATATATTTTTAAGTTCATTTTGTGTATAACAGTAGTATTGATAAAATGTTATTAGATTAAAATCGACGACATATTCACGATGTCAACGGTTAAGTTATGAACAGAGAAAATGACTCGACGTCTGCTTTTAGATTTCACAATTGCCTGTTTTTAAGAACCAAGCTACGTCAGATGACATCATATCTAGTGAATAGGTAACCTCTATAAGGTCCATTATTACGTCTTTATTAATTTAATGTTACTTTATCCCGTACATTAAAGTAAAGTTTCAGTAAAATTGTAGAAAATAAGCATATTGAAATGCATGGAATTAAATTTAAATCATGCAAAAATACTTTTAATACCTTTACTTAACTTACATAGCTTTGGTTATTAAGCTACTTGTAAATGACTTTTTGAGTAATATATTTCTTGAATCAGGGAATCCCTTAAGCACCTTTAATTTACTAGATTTTGACAGTAAGTGGACAAATCCAACACTGTCTCATGTACTGAATTCACACAACTTATTGAGATAATGTGAAAGGATGCAGTTATTTTGAAGGAACGCAAAAATCCTAAGAAATCTTCTGTTGCAAACAAAAAGTATAATATCTTGGTGAAATATGTCTGAGTCGAAAACGTGGTAAAGATTATATGTTAAATGTGTGATGTCTATCATGAAATGATATGCATTGTTTTTTTCTATAATCATATTTATTTGATTTCATTTTTTTTTTCATTAAACATGCTTTTTTTTTAATAGAAAGTATAATTTTTGATAAATATTCACACTGTAAATCTGTAATAACATGTTACCCTAAACAGTCATTTAATAACTAAATCTCGTGAAATTTCAAAAAAGTAAGGAAAAGTTGCATTCAATTTGGAAAATAACCTATCTCTCGTTAGTTTTTGGCGAAAACTTTTAATATCTTTTCGTTATAATTTTGGTATGTTCTTCGTCATATTTAAGACTAAAAATATTATGGCAAAGACTTCTGAAAATATGTACGAATTAAGGGTGAAATATTCACGCAAAAAATTAGTTCATTTCCCTATATGTGGATTTATCTTTTATGTCAATTGAACAAAAAAGAATTTATTCTTGAGAAATATTGCTTAGTTTTGTTCATTTATTAAGTCTATACACGATGTTAAAAGAAGTATTTTTTTGATTTTTTATATTCTATTCATGAGAAGAACCCCTAAAAATGACTGACAATGTGAAGATGCAGTTTGTGTATACCATTCAAAGCTTCACAGGCTGAACTACATTTAATAATGAGGAAAGATGCCTTGAAATTTTAATTGATTGATAAGGGAATGCTAATTTATCATTTTGAAAAGTTTGAAAATCTTGTAACAAAGACTTTTCCCACTTAGGTTTTACCTTAAAAGTATATATTATGTGTACTTTCAAAACATTTTTTCATAATTCAAAATCAAATATAAATCTTTTTTTATAGAATGTAATGGTTCACACTTTGGGCAGAATTGTTCTGAGAAGTGCAACATCAACTGCAAAGGACAGATGTGCAATAATATTACAGGAGCTTGTACTAATGGATGTGAAATGGGATACTTCAAGGAGACTTGCAATAAAAGTTGTAGCCCTTATTGTTTAAACGGCTGTGACAGTGTTTCAGGCTATTGTGATGATGGTTGTGTCGAAGGAAAGTTTGGCACGGAGTGTAACAAAAATTGTGGAATTGGTTGCCTTTCGAAGAGCTGTGCACGTATAAATGGGAACTGCACTTGCGCAGATGGATGGAAAGGGGATAAATGTACAGGTAAAATATACACATGTACATGTACATGTAGTATATAAACAGGTCATTTCTACATGGAATGAACGCAGTGCTTTTACAAAAGATATTACAATTATCAATTTTCAGATGAAATTGTTTGGTTTATTAATTTGTTGTAAAAATGGAATTTTCAAAATTAATTGTTCATAATCATCATCTCATTGATAAAAACTACATGTAAAATGTCATATATGGGCACAATCTTTGGCAATAGATTTATATGGTCCTTCCATATCTATAATTAAGAACTCAAACCTTTCTCGAAAAACTTTTAATATTCTACCTACGGAATCTTTTTCTCTTGATAAATTTATATCTTAAGAATGTTGTTCATAATTTTATGTTAAATCCTGCAAAATAAGATGTAGCGAGCATTCTAATAATTTGACATGTTTTGCCAACAATTGATCGTGTATTGGTGCGTGTTCTGGAGATTCCACAGATGACAAATACACAAATTGCACTGATTGAAAATTAATTACATGAAATTATAAATTATTAAAATGCTTAAATATTAATAACTGTCCAAAATACTCAAAGAATCATTTAGCCCTCGAATATGGATATATTTTTTCAGCAGTATTTATTCTGTAAAAAATAAAATTGCTTGAAAATATCAATTTTTTACAACCTACCAACCTCAAACTGTTTGATCAGGTGCTATGAAGGAGTAAGCATACCCTGAAGACAGATCATATTCCTTTTAATAAAAAACGAGAAAACGAGAGAAAAAATGCGCAGACAGATCAGCTTAACAATTTGTTAGCATCAACTGTGAGGAATAAAATCTTTATCGAAAAATGGATTTCAATACTTTTATTTTTATTTTAGATTTTATACGACAGAAACTAAAAAGTTTCATTAATAGTACAATGAAATCTCGGTTTTCTGAACTAATTTTCATAAATAATTAATTTTTCTAGTATTTTTTATAGATGATAGAAGAAAAAAAAACTCTGTCATTCATATGCTCGTAAATTTACTGTTGTATTTTAATATATATACATGCATGTATATATGGCTTCAGTATTTATAAACCTATTGATTAAAATCTGAATAACTTATAATATTATTTATATCTTCTAGAATTGCAGACTTCAGAAATTTATGAAAGAACAGAAACAAATGAGGTCCCCCCGATATATTTTCTTGGTGCTGGAGGTGGTGGCGCTTTTCTCCTTTTCATAGTTGTGATAATCGTCATTATTGTGTGCAAGTATAAATATTCAATATCATATTTTTTTCATTCATGATTGCTAAAGATTGCTAAAGGAAAAAAAGTAGTTTTGTTCATTCACAAAGATATTAAATTACGATCATCATGGGTTTTAACATAGTTTAACAATAACTTCGCAAAATATATTGTAGATACATGTCTACACAACGTTTGAGCAAATCTGAAAAAAAAATATATTACCACTACATTCAAACTTGCTACTTATTATAAAATACAGAATTCAAAAGACTAATTTGGATAATATTCGTATAATGTATATTTTTTATAATGAAACCTTTATCCAACTGTAAGATTTTTTTCAACCAGTACTCGTCATTGATGCTGTGCAAAGTCAATTTTTTCTAATTAAGTTATTTGTTTTTTCATTGAAACTAAGATCAAGAAGACACACAAATAGTGACGATCCATCCACCTTTGAAATCCATATGCCCTCCGATAGAAACACAGCGGGTAAGGGAATTATTTACCATTATATATACACTTTTGTCTGACTGTGTAAACACATTTCTCTGTCAATTTCATAAAAATCTACAATATAATGAAGAAATCTAAATAGAAAATTGTTTTTAGATATTGTAAAAAACATTGTCATTTGAAAAAAAATATAATATTGATTTTACTCCGCCGACAAAATAATATTCTAACAATATCGAAAATCGGGAATAGTAATTTTTGTGATTTTGTGACTTGTTTAAACTTTAAATTTTGTATGAAAATAAAAGACTGATTCATACTATTTTTTTAATCTGAACAGAATTTTAAAAGACCTATAACTTAATGCGATATTTTTGTTATTCCTACAAAGGATACACCAACAGGGCTTTTTTATCTGTCCCTATTGAGGATCCCGAAGAGGAACCCTATGAAGAGAAACCGGAAGAAGCCGTTTACTATAATAACCTGTCAATGGCTAAGGATATTAGTGTTAAGGATCTCGCCAATATCATTAAACAAAAAGAAGAAAACGAGGGGTTTATTAAAGAATTCAAGGTATTACTCTATGTCTATTCAATATTTACGTTTTGTAAGTAGATAACCTTATTAGCAAACTTGCTATAATTTATATTTCTTAACCTAATTTGCTGGAAATTTATTTTATTTTCTTCCTTTCAATTTTTTTCAAGTTTAATTATTATATCACTTTACGACTTGAGGTGTAGCCATTCTCGTATGTTTTCCCGGGTATTTCGGAAAAAAAATTCTAAATGTACACTC